TGTGTCAAAAGCTCTCTGCTATAGGTTAGACTGTTTTGATTGACCGTTATTTAAATGTTTTTCTTACCACGCAGCTACCATACATTGAGCTACTATACCGTGGGAGTTTTGACATCTGTTTTGAAGCCAGAGCATGACTCTGAGTCGTATTTCACTGTTAGTTTTACACAAATAATTGTAAATTTTCAGTTATGAAACTGACGATTGTTAATTTTTTATCAAATGTACTGAAGATGGGTGTACTATTGCTTCAAATCAAATCAAGTCAAATTGTATTTGTCACATGCGCCGAATACAACAGGTAGACCTTACTGTGAAATGCTTACTTACAAGCCCTTAACCAACAATGCAGTTCAAGAAATAGAGTTAATTTGATTAATTGTTCAGCAGGCTTATGGCTTGGGGGTATAAGCTGTTAAGGAGCCTTTTGGACCTAGACTTGGCGCTCCGGTACCACTTTCCATGCGGTAGCAGAGAGAACAGTCTGTGTCTTGGGTGACTGGAGTCTTTGACAATTTTTTGGGCCTTCCTCTGACAACGCCTAGTATACCGGTCCTGGATGGCAGGAAGCTTGGCCCGAGTGATGTACTGGGACATACGTACTACCCTCTGTAGCGCCTTACTGTCGGAAGCCAAGCAGTTACCACACCAGGCGGTGATGCAACTGGTCAGGATGCTCTCGATGGTGCAGTTGTATAACTTTTTGAGGATCTGGGGACCCATGCCAAATCTTTTCAGTCTGCTGAGGGGGAAAAGGTGTTGTCGTGCCCTCTTCACGACTGTCTTGGCGTGTTTGGACCATGAGAGTTTGTGTTGTGTGTGTGTGCTTACTGTGACTGTCACCCTGATATTGGCTACTACAGTAGGTAGCTACTTCCAAAGCCGTTGCCGGACATTAGTGCTTGGCAAACGGGAGCAAAGGGCAGTGTGTCCCGGTGTTGTTGCTGTTCATGGTCTCCCCATTGAGTAGTAGACTGTATGTATGTATCAAGGTGACATCTAGATGGTTATCAATATTAGTTATTGTGTATGCTGCTATCCTACATGAAATAAAATAATGTGATGGTAAAACATGGCCACGTTAGCTACTGCTGACGACACGACAGTGATATAGCTGCCCAGTAAGAAGCACCTCAGGTCAGCAGGCACGTCGATACAACAGCGGTGCACTGGTCACCGGCTTATCGTCTCGTCATTCAGCCAAATCAGCCATGCAAAACGGTCTTGAGTGGCAACAAATCTGCCCAATTAGCTGATTTGCTTTCCATACACCCACTCCTTTTGACACACCCACTCGCCCATACTCCGGTCGCCATGTTGGGCTGCAGCTACCCATACTTGTTTTTAGCTCATGATCATAGCATGCATATCTATCTGGGTGTCAGATATATATTCATTCTCTGATCCTTTGATTGGGTGGACAACATGTCATTTCATGCTGCAAGAGCTCTGATAGTTTGGTGGACGTCATCCAGAAGTTGTCATAATTACTGTGTATGTCTATGGAAGGGGGTGAGAACCATTAGCCTCCTAGGTTTTGTATTCAAGTCAATGTACCCAGAGGAGGACAGAAGCTAGCTTTCCTCCGGCTACACCATGGTGCTGCCCTACAGAGTGCTGCTGAGACTACTGTAGAACTTAATTGCAAAACAGTGTGTTTTAGTCAATTATTTGGTGTTGTGAATATATTTAGTATAGTTTTATCTAAAAAGGATACATTTTTTAATGTTTCACAATTTTCTTTCCTTCTGAAATTCACTGAGTAGGATGGTCCTCCCCTTCCTCCTCTGAGGAGCCACACATGATAGGGATCTATCTACAGAGGACAACGACAAAACTCTGTCTGGCCAAAGATGAAAGCTTGGAAACAATGGTGGAGGAACTAAACTGGGAGGGTTTAAGCTAAAAAGTATGTAAAATGAGCAGGAATAGAATTGTATAGAAACTGAGGGTTGGGAAGGCAGTTGCTCTGCAGACCAGCTCGGGTTTTGTTAATTTGTGTAATAAAATCTATCTACATTTCTACGACACCATCTCTCATTTATTTGGAGCAGGTAGAGCCAGCTGTAATAGTGCAAACTTATTATTGAACTATGCAAACTATGTATTTCAGATTGAAATATACAGTGCTTTCGGAAAGTATTCAGACCCCTTGACTTTTTCCACATTTTGTTATGTTACAGCCTTATTCTAAAATGGATTAGATAAAAAAAAAATTCATCAATCTACACCCAATACCCCATAACGACAAAGCAAAAACAGGTTTCTAGACATTTTTGCAAATGTATTAAAAATAAAAAACGGAAATATTGACAAGCTTGGCACACCTCTATTTGGGGAGTTTCTCCCATTCTTCTCTGCAGATCCTCTCAAGCTCTGTCAGATTGGATGGGTAGCATCGCTGCACAGCTTTTTTCAGGTCTCTCCAGATATGTTCGATCTGGTTCAAGTCTGGGCTCTGGCTGGGCCACTCAAGGACATTCAGAGACTTATCCCGAAGCCACTCCTGCGTTGTCTTGGCTGTGTGCTTAGGGTTGTTGTCCTGTTGGAAGGTGAACCTTAGCCCCAGTCTGAGGTCCTGAGCGTTCTGAAGCAGGTTTTCATCAAGGATCTCTTTGTACTTTGCTCCGTTCATCTTTCCCTTGACCCTGACTAGTCTTCCAGTCCCTGCCGCTGAAAAATATCCCCACAGCATGATGCTGCCACCACAATGCTTCACCGTAGGGAAGGTGCCAGGTTTCCTCCAGACGTGACACTTGGCATTCAGGCCAAAGAGTTCAATCTTGGTTTCATCAGACCAGAGAATCTTGTTTCTCATGGTCTGAGAGCCTTTTAGGATGCCATGTGCCTTTTACTGAGGAGTGGCTTCCGTATGGCCTCTCTACCAAAAATCCCTGATTGGTGGTGTGCTGCAGAAATTGTTGTCCTTCTGGAAGGTTCTCCCATCTCCACAGAGGAACTCTGGAGCTTTTTCAGAGTGACCATCGGGTTCTTGGTCAAATCCCTGACCAAGGCCCTTCTCCCCCGATTGCTCAGTTTGGCCATGCGGCCAGCTCTAGGAAGAGTCTTGGTGGTTCCAAACTTCTTCCATTTAAGAATTATGTAGGCCACTGTGTTCTTGGGGACTTCAATGCTGCAGAATTTTTTGGTACCCTTCCCTAGATCTGTGCCTCGACCAATCCTGTCTCGGATCTCTACGGACATTCCTTCAACCCTCATGGTTTGTTTTTGCTCTGACATGCACATTCAACTGTGCGACTGTCACGCACGTTGACTGATTACTCGTGGAACCAAGCGCAGCGTGATAAGCGTACATTTTATTTAGTACACACACACGAACCAAAACAACAAAACGAACAATACGTGAAGTCCTGAGGTTACAACAACACAAACTTTACGGAACAAGATCCCACCAACTAACTGGTGCCAACAGGCTGCCTAAGTATGGGCCCCAATCAGAGACAACGGCTACAGCTGCCTCTGATTGGGAACCACCCTGGCCAACATAGATCTAAACGATCTAGAACAAAAACATAGAAACTAAACATAAAAAATCCACACCCTGGCTCAACATTTAAGAGTCCCCAGAGCCAGGGCGTGACAGCGACCTTCTATAGACAGGTGTGTGCCTTTCCAAATCATGTCCAATCAATTGAATTTACCACAGGTCGACTCCAATAAAGTTGTAGAAACATCTCAAGGATGATCAATGGAAACAGGATGCACCTGAACATCACTCCTTTCAAATCCCATTGAGAGCATACGTCATTGACAGAAAAACTTGTATTGTTGCATCTTGTTGTGTTGTTGTCCTCCGGTGAATAGCCAGCTGACTAAAATTGTCCCTTGCCTAAATTAGCAACGGATGGAGATAGGGATTTGGATTCATGTTTTTTCTTAATTCTGATTATAACGGCCATTCTGATCCAACCATGAATTCATACATTGTTGTGCCCCTGGCCTGAGAGGATGGAAGTTCAAAATGTAGCTAGATGTAGAAGGCTAATGTTAATTAGCTAATGTTGCCCATGAATGGAAGTTAGGCTAACGAGCAAGCATTTTAGCCAGGTAGCCTAGGACAACAAAAAATTAAAGTGTGTGGCATTGGCGTTTCTCTACAAGTAGGGTGAGTCAACATGTTTTTCTACTTGCACGAACACACTCACACACACACACACACACACAAACACGCACACAGAAATCAGAACCATGGACAGCCACATAATATTTAGCTTACGTTGATTGGACTAAATAGTTTTTGGTATCTTTTAGTTGTCACTGTATTAGACTAAGCAGAGGTGATTTGATGATGTTGAAATGTTGAATTTGAAATGGTGCTGGAATAGTGGAGGCAGCTCCTGTTTTCTTTGCGACTTGCGGTAACTCTCTGTGGTTCTAAATCAGTAGTTGTTTAGTGGTCCGAAAATGTGGGAAACATTAACTTCCTTGACCATGCTGTGGTCATGCAACTGTCTGTTACTGTACATTCAGTATGCTTTGTGGACTTCACTGGACAAAGGTTGCTATCCGGTTTTGTGAAAGAACAAAGGTGTGGTTGAATTTATTCTGGCATTGTGTCTTCTTATTGTCTTTGTCTTTAGGCCTATATATGATGGTCTCAAGGCATATGAGTTAACAGGTTATAGAGTAAACAATGCAATTATCACAACACATAGGTTGTAATATGGCTTGGCTTCCCCAGTGATTTTACCCACACAGCATAAAAATGAATGGTTTATTATGTTACAAACACACGGTCATGCAGCCAAAATGGGATTCTCTATCAGATGATTTCTTACAATAAAAAGCTGTAAAAAGTTATGGCTATTCAAGACATTACAGGATCATTATATACATCTAACATATAGACAATGTTAAAATTACAGTTTCTTTGTTGCATTGTAAATTCCATACCAATTTTAGATACTAAAAGCAGTTTTATTAGGCTACAAATAGTTAAATGGTTCTTCTTGGAGTCTTTGTGACAGTGGTGATATCTTTCACTGCTGCTGCAGGTATCTGACATCAGAGTACACTGCATCCTCTCTGCTGGTCTTCTCTCTTGCTCTTCTAGAGGAGGAGGACTTCTTCTTGGGGGTGAAACTCACAGCTGCATAGTTCAACACATCACTGTCTTGATTCTGAGGGTGGTGGAGCCATGAGGAAATACATTATGATGATAGCATGATCTACTATATAATGTTTCTATTCTCCTGTGGAAGAAAACACTCTACAAAAGACAGGACTGTTCAGACTGTACACCCACTACAATGACCTGACAGTCAGTGGAACAGTGACAGACAGAAGTTCCATGGAAAAATTAACAACGATCACAAAGATCAGAAGGCTTCATCTAGTACAGTGACCTATTACTTCCAATACATTTTAATAACACATAAAGCACAAATATGCTGAATATTAGGTGGAAAGAAAGTTAAATGGCAGTTTGTTGTAAAAACTGAAAATATACTATATTTATAAATGTTGACAAATGTACCTGATTACCCTGGGATGTTGGGACATCTGTCCTCCCTTCAAAGAGATTGAAATAGAGGAAGGCCAGCTATTATTTTTTATGACAACCTATCTCTTTTTAACCTCATGTAGTTCATTAACAATGCTTATACGTTGGTTATTTAGCTGATATTTACAGAAGGTACATTGCATAGAGATGCATGAAACATTAGATACATCAGTTATAACATTAGATACATTGGATACATTAGATATACAGTAATACCTCTGCTATCTCTGTTCTGAGTCTTGCACAGCACCCAGACAAGTAGAAGGGTCACTATCCCGAGGACGATGTTGGAGACGACCAAGGCCAGAACAGTTGGACTGATCAAATGGAGAATCATGCTCTGGAACTGTGGAAAGGGTATCAGGGAATTCATATTGTATTCATGAGCGCTTAGGAATTTCATTAAACAGAAAAATATGGAATCAAAAGCTAATGGTGTTATTGTATAGCTTGTTGAGACAAATGTATGGGGTCATTTGGAGGTAGGCCGTTTGCATAAATAGACAGTATGGTTGGGGATATTTACAGATTAAATGGGATTTACCATGAATGTTCAGCTTGGTCCCGTTCCCAAACAGTATCTCTCCACATGAGGCCACAGCACAGTAGTAAGTCCCAGCATCAGAGAGGCTGAGGTTCCTCTTGGGGAGGTTGTAGAAACAGCTCTGTGTAGGAGACCCAGCCTCAGGGCTCTTCTCACACTGATCACTCCTGTCTCCATGGGTGTAAATGATTCCTGGACGGGATTCTCCTGAGCCATGACTGAACCAATAGACACTGTGTTCTCCTACACAGGTCTCAGTGTGTATTGTACAGTTCAGAGTCACAGAGTCTCCTGGCTGGACTGACTCAGACAAATGCTCTCTGGACAACAGTATTACTATTTAACTTTGTACCTTTGAAATGAAATGTTATTGACTTATCATAATCCCTAAAAATTATTTTTTAAATCATGTCATATATTATATTTCAGCATATAATTTATCAGCGTATGACTTTAAACTTACAAGTAATTGCATTACCTTTAAGCATCAAGGTGGTTCCAGGTCCAAACTCTATGAAGTTTAAGCGCACCAATCCACAGTAGTACATCCCAACGTCCTCTTGCTTTGTTGAATATATATTTAGGTGAAATATCCCTACTTTCATCAATACATAAAACGCCTGAAACAAAATCAAGTATTTCCATTCAGAAAAAGACAGTATACCAAACACATATTATTGAACCCAGCTTGAAAGTTGACTTTCTTAGGAAATGTGTCACTTACAAGAGTTGCAGAGAAGAAGAAAGACCAAGAGCTCAACCATCTTGACCTCGACCCTAGCTTTTCTGGAGCAGGAGTGATTTGTAGTGTGCAACTTGTAAAAAATACATTGAATCACACATCTGTGGTCTGATTGGTTAGATCTAGGTGGGGTCTGATTGGTCTATTAAATGTGTTCTGCTAAACACCTTATTGGCTGTTCAGTAGGTCATATGTGGAACAGAAACAGTATTTCTATGAAGTTTGAATCAGTGTCACTTTGCAAGACTGGATACAAGAAAATACAACCTGATAATATAATGTTTGGATCAGAAGGTCACCCATGTTGTGAGTTAGGAAATGAAGGTTACGTATGTAACCACGGTTATGTGAGCTATATGGATCACTCCGATATATTGGTATACCCGTACCAGATTTATTCAGTGCTAGAGGGACCTTACAAGCCAGCGGGCGAAGTCCCAGCACGGAACCGAGACGCAGGGGCCGTCAATGTGGAAGGGGAGTCCTGGCTCTGTCCCCAGAAGGGGAGGCGACGCCCAGGACCGCTGAACCAACCGCAGAGGGAGGTGCCACATTTACCCGATAGTACCTAGCAAAGGTGCAAGAGGAAGCCCAGCTGGCTGCAGCACAGATATCAGCGAGGGGCACTCCTCTCAGTAGAGCTCAGGACGCAGCCACACCTTGTGTTGAATGTGCCACCACAGATCCCAGCACTGGCCTGCCAGCCAGGCGGTATGCTGTCGTAATCGTGTCCCCGATCCGGTGAGAGAGCCTCTGCTTTGTTAGCCCAGCCCCTAGGACTCTCTCACCATAGCAGACAAAGAGCTGGTCTGTTGTTCTCACTTAAAGTGTCCGCTCCCCATAGGCAGCCAGTGCCCGCGCAGGGCACAGCATGCCGGAGGGAGGCCCAGAGTCCCCGGCCACTGCCGGGGGGTCGTAAGCAGACAGGATAAAAGGGAGGTTCACATGCCTGTCTGACAGAACCTTCGGGAGGAAGACATACTCCTCCCACCGGGGTCCATCCGTTAGCACTCAGAACTTACCGGAAAAGCATGGAGCTCACCCACGCTCTTCATGGAAGTAATCGCTACCAAAAAAAACACCTTCATAGAGAGGTGTTTCAGGGAGGCAGACTCCAACGGTTTGAAAGGCGGCTTTGCCAAAGCTGCCAAGACCACATCCAGATCCCAGCTCGCCATTGAGCGGGTCCTAGCTGGACGCAGGCGACAAACCCCCTTTATAAACCTGGAGACCATGGGATGGCGCCCCACTGGCCTGTCCATCCACCCCACATGGCAGGCAGATATAGCGGCCAAATACCCTCTCAGTGTAGAGGCTGCCAAGCCCTCATCCAAGCGAGACTGCAGGTATTGGAGGACATACTGCACCCCGCATGACTCAGGCACAACCTCAATACCAGTGCACCAAGAGCAGAACAACCGCCAGCGTAACTGGTATGCTGCGGTTGTAGCCGGTGCCCTTGTGCTCTGCATGGTGTTCATTACGCCCTCCTGTAGTCCTAACATGGACCATTGGTGCCGTTCAGCAGCGAAGCCCACAGACTGAGGCGGTGCAGTCTCGGATGCCACAAAGTTCCCCCGGCCTGAGACAGTTTGTGCAGCAAGAGCCACCATACTAATGGATGCACACGGAGTCGTAGTGTAACGCCAACGAAACACAAGTACGATAAACCACGGGCGGAAGATACAGATCAACCGCGCGCAGCGAGTGGAGCACTCAAGAGGAGGGGCTGGCCAGTGAGTATACTTCCATGCAAGATATTACACTTAACAGTGACTTACCAAGCGAACTACAGAAAGTTTGTACCTCAAACCATACAGACGTCCGGCGAGAAAATTAAAGAGAACGTGTGTCGCGGCCATGGTGTCTATATATAGGGGCAGACCACAGCCGTGACACAGGTGTACACGGGAGTAAATCTGTAAATCCTATCCTCGGATGTATCCCTCCGCCGCGGAGTGATACCAATATATTGGAGTGATCTAATATAGTGAAACACAACTCAATCCTAGTTAGGGACTTTCCTGTTTTCACTTTGACTTCACCGTTCAACTAGAGGGTCATTCTTTTTAACAGTTTAATATATCTAAATGTAACATATAACATGATGAAAATACACTAGGGTGTAATAACAAACTCATAAAGGAAGCAGTGATTTTTGATCAGCAACATTTATTCAATTAAGATGCTATTCCAATATTTAAGACAGTAGAGAAATAATTAAAGCCTACTCACCTAATATTCTAATACAAGTTGCTTTTCTAGGTTACAAGTAGAGCTATTTCCTATTTTATTTAGCTATTATTTACGTACTAAAAGCGGTTGATTTACCAGTCATCACAAGGCCTTCAAAGTTATTTCTGATGTATATGGATGTGTTTTCTGTTCAATGTGGTGAGGTTCTTCACGTCTCACTCCTGCTGAAAGAACCTGACCTCAGAGTGCTCTGCGTCCTTTCTGCTGGTCTTGGCTCTTGCTCTTCTGGAGGAGGAGCTTTTCTTGGTGGTGAAACTCACAGCTGCATAGTTTACCACGTCAGTGTCTTGGTTCTGTGTGAGAGAGGTGGAGCCATAACAAAGTGGAGTGATACAACAAAGAGTTAACCTGATCGACTGGTTGGGTTGGTGATCTCTCAGTTGCATCTTCAAATAAAAACAAGAAGAAAATAACGTGTTACATATACAAGCTATCTCGCTAAAACAATCAATATGTTTTAGACATCGTCAAACAGCAAGTATATTAGTGTAATTAGTCATATGCATGAAATATGCAAAACAACAACAAGCCTGGCGAGACATGCAGAGAGAGAGAGAGAGAGAGAGAGAGAGAGAGAGAGAGAGAGAGAGAGAGAGAGAGAGAGAGAGAGAGAGAGAGAGAGAGAGAGAGCATAAGGGACATTTCATCCCCTAGTGTTAGTCTATGAGAGACCCAGTAATCTCATCAGGTCTCAATTTACACTGAGCTGCTCCATCCAGTCACCCACACCACAGGAAGTGATGCGTACCCTCACTGGCCCCCAATCATATTCTCCTTATAAGGTGTTTCTCGGAATAGGACGCTTTGATCAGTGCAAAGTCAAGAAAGGAAATACTAAGGCTAAAAGAGGCAACTACTCCTCTGAAGCCATTAAACAGATGTGTTTTGACTTCTAACTCCTCCTCTCTAACCACACCCTGTACCACTGAGCTGTGTGGCCTAACTGAGTTAGAGAGAGCTAAAGTAGCCCTGAGGTACAACTAACAAACATACATTGCAGAGATTGATTGACTTACATTTCAATACATTTAATATAACTACACAAATACAATATAGCAAGATTTATTTAGCTATTATTTACGTACTAAAAGTGGTTGAGTATGTTATTACATACAGCCGAAAAAACTTTTGGATATCAGAGCGCAGGTAACTCACTATCATTATGACCAGGAATACGACTTTCCCGAATTGGTTCCTTTGTTCGTTCCCCCAGGGCAATTGAACTTATCCCATATGCTGCTCCAAGTCACCGCCGGCGGAGAAGAGGTATTCGGAGTGGACTTCTGGTCCGACTCAGGAAGCGGGCACACCATCCACCACTTCTGAGTATATTACTCACTAATGTTCAGTCTCTGAACAATAAAGTAGACGAGCTCAGGGCGAGGATCTCCTTCCAGAGAGACATCAGAGACTGTAACATACTCTGTTTCATGGAATCATGGCTCTCTCAGGAAATACTGTCCCCATCCATACAGCCAGCTGGGTTCTCAGTTCATCTCGCAGATGAATAAAGAACTCTCCAGGAAGAAGAAAGGCGGGGGTGTATGCTTCATGATTAACTACTCATGGTGTGATTGTGATAACATACAGAAACTCAAGTCCTTTTGTTCACCTGACCTAGAATACCTCACAATCAAATGCTGACCGTATTACCTCCCAAGAGAATTCTCTTCGGTTATAGTTACAGCTCCTCAAGCCGATACCACGACGGCCCTCAAGGAACTGCACTGGACTTTATGCAAACTGGAAACCACATATCCTGAGGCCGCGTTTATTGTAGCTGGGGATTTTAACAAAGCAAATTTGAAGAAAACGCTACCGAAGTTCTATCCACACATTTACTGTAGTACTCGTTTAGGGAAAACACTAGATCACTGCTACTCGCCTTTTCGAGATACCTACAAGGCCCTCCCCCTTCGGCAAATCAGATCACGACTCCATTTTACTCCTCCCTTCCTATAGGCAGAAACTCAAACAGGAAGTACCCGTGTTAAGGTCTATTCAATGCTGGTCTGACCAATCGGAATCCATGCTTTAAGATTGTTTTGATCACGCAGACTGGGATATGTTCTGGGCACTCTGAGAATAACATTGACGCTTACACGGACACGGTGGCTGAGTTCATCGGGAAGTATATGGGATGTTGTTCCCACAGTGACTATTAAATCCTACCCAAACCAGAAACCGTGGATAGATTGTAGCATTCGCGCAAAACTGAAAGCGCAAACCACCGCATTTAACCATGGTAAGGTGACTGGGAATATGGTCCAATACAAACAGTGTAGTTATTCCCACCGCAAGGCAATAAAACAGGCCAAAACGTCAGTACAAAGACAAAGTGGAGACGCAATTCAATGGCTCAGACACGAGACGTATGTGGCAGGGTCTAAAAACAATCACAGATTACAAAGGGAAAACCAGCCACGTCGCAGACACCGACGTCTTGCTCCCAGACAAGCTAAACACCTTCTTCGCCTGCTTTGAGGATAACACAGTACCACCGACTCCCAATGACTGTGGGCTCTCGTTCTCCGTGGCCGACGTGAGTAAGACATTAAGCATGTTAACCCTCGCAAGGCTGCCGGCCCAGACGGCATCCCTAGCCGCGTCCTCAGAGCATGCGCAGACCAGCTGGCTGGAGTGTTTACGGACATATTCAATCTCTCCCTATCCCAGTCTGCTGTCCCCACTTGCTTCGAGATGTCCACAATTGTTCCTGTACCCAAGAGAGCAAAGGTAACTGAACTAAATGACTATCGCCCCATAGCACTCACTTCTGTCATCATGAAGTGCTTTGAGAGGCTAGTTAAGGATCATATCACCTCTACCTTACCTGACATCCTAGACCCACTTCAATTTGCTTACCACCCCAATAGATCCACATACGATGCAATCGCCATCACACTGCACACTGCCCTATCCCATCTGGACAAGAGGAATATCTACGTCAGAACGCTGTTCATTGACTATAGCCCAGCCTTCAACACCATAGTACCCTCCAAGCTCATCATTAAGCTCGGGGCCCTGGGTCTGAACCCCGCCCTGTGCAACTGGGTCCTGGACTTCCTGATGGGCCTCCCCCAGGTGGTGAAGGTAGGAAACAACACCTCCACTTCGCTCCTCCTCAACATGGGGGCCCCTCAGGGGTGCGTGCTCAGTCCCCTCCTGTACTCCCTGTTCACCCATGACTGCATGGCCAGGCACGACTCCAACACCATCATTAAGTTCGTCGATGACACAACAATGGTAGGCCTGATCACCGACAACGATGAGACAGCCTATAGGGAGGAGGTCAGAGACCTGGCCGTGTGGTGCCAGAATAACAACCTCTCCCTCAAAGTGATCAAGAGAAAGGAGATGATTGTGGACTACAGGAAAAAAAAGAGGACTGAGCACGCCCCCATTCTCATCGACGGGGCTGTAGTGGAACAGGTTGAGAGCTTCAATTCCTTGGTGTCCACATCACCAACGAACTATCATGGTCCAAACACACCAAGACAGTCGTGAAGAGGGCACGATAAAACCTATTCCCCCTCAGGAGACTGAAAAGATTTAGCATGGGTCCTCAGATCCTCAAAAAGTTATACAGCTGCACCATCGAGAGCATCCTGACTGGTTGCATCACCGCCTGGTATGGCAACTGCTCGGCCTCTGACCGCAAGGCACTACAGAGGGTAGTGCGTACGGCCCAGTACATAACTGGGGCCAAGCTTCCTGCCATCCAGGACCTCTATACCAGGCGGTGTCAGAGGAAGGCCCTAAAATTTGTCAATGACTCAAACCACCCTAGTCATAGACTGTTCTCTTTGCTACCGCACGGCAAGCGGTACCGGAGCGCCAAGTCTAGGTCCAAAAGGCTTCTCAACAGCTTCTACCCCCAAGCCATAATACTCCTGAACAGCTAATCATGGCTACCCGGACTATTTACATTTTAGTCATTTAGCAGACGCTCTTATCCAGAGCGACTTACAGTTAGTGAGTGCATACATTATTTTTGTATTGAATTTTTCTTACTGGACCCCAATGGGAATCGAACCCACAACCCTTGTGTTGCAAATGCCATGCTCTACCAACTGAGCTACATCCCTGCCGGCCATTCCCTCCCCTACCCTGGACGACGCTGGGCCAATTGTGCGCCACCCCAGGGGTCTCCGGGTCGCGGCCGGCTACGACAGAGCCTGGATTCAAACCAGGATCTCTAGTGGCACAGCTAGCACTGCGATGCAGTGCCTTAGACCACTGCGCCACTCGGGAGGGTACTTGACTGCATAAGTGTCTTTGAGTGCGCATGAATGGGACTGGGTGTGAGCAAGTAAGTTATGAATGTCCAGATCGAAGTGCCAAACCAGGCCAGTTCACTAGGAGGGGCAGACAGGCAGTAGGATGGGTGATACGGGAAAGGGGCCGAACCTGACGGTGCCAGAGAAACGCTTGTCCTTCTGGGGATCGTAGTTCTTCAAGCTGATATGGAGTTCTACAGATTCCGTGAACTTGCGTGGCTTGGCCAGAGATCCCGCCTGGACCTCCTTGACCACCTCATAGAGCATATCCCTGGACACCTTGCTCATTTTACTGTATTGCTAACACGCCAGATTGCTGAAGAAATCAGATGCCAGGCCATCCAACATGGGGATGTATTACTATGCTGCACGTGATTATGGAAGGGACCAAGCTGAACATTCATGGTAAATATAATATGGTTGTTTATTAACAATATGCAAACATGAACCTTAGTTATTACACTGTATTAGCCAATACTATATTATATACAATTTAAAAAATGTGGAAATATAAAAGGTTAAATTCTCTCAGGTGGTGACATTCAAGTGGCGACTGAAGCAGATATGAGGATCCTGGTCCTTCTCTCCATCATAAGAACTGAAATTCTTCTCTGCTGTCTGACCATCATCTTCATCATCTACCTCATCAGGAAATAGATCAATTCAATGATTCAGTTTCACAATCCTTCAGCTGTTACAAACATAAATGTGGTTTACTGCCTGTTCAAATGTTTCAGTCCTCGTCAGCTTAGGTGACATAATGTCAACGTAAAATGCCCACATGTTGATGATGCAGATTCGCATGTAATACTTTTTCTATATTTCTGTTCAGACTTTCAATAAATAAATGAATCGTTATTGAAAATGCAATTGTTTTATTCAATACTGACATAATTACATAGTAGTTACAGTATGATATTGTAACTGATGGGAAGTATTTCACGGCCATTGCATTATGGGAGCATACACAACGTGTCTCAGAAACGTCTCCATCCTGCCCTCTCCCTCTTCCACAGTCTGATCTGTTCATTGAGAAGCTCAGTGGAGCGTACATTTCTGTGTCCATGTTCATATTCTAAAATAAAGACAGAGACAGAGATACATACTGTCGTGGAAATTCAACACCAGGGACACCTGAAGTCAAATTTAAATGAATCATTCTTTATTATCAGCAAGATGGAGAGGTTCCAACAAACTTAATGCATCAAGTAGTACATGTCTGTCAGGAGCTCTCACATCCACATTCACTTAGTACTATTCCCAAACACACTCAGTAGTCCCAGACTACAGAAGTCCCAGACCATAGTGGTCCCAGACCACATAGACAATTCCTAGAAATGCCTATAGACAGCTGTTGGTGGGGCTTCTCTACCCTCACTCTGTAGTCAAAGACTACTCTAGCCTCCCAGAAATTATGGTATCTTTCTAGTAGTCCTAGACTACAGAAGGCCCAGACCACAGTGGTCCAGACCACAGTGGTCCCAGACCACAAAGACAATTCCTAGAAATACCTATAGACAGCTGTCGGTGGGGCTTCTCTACCCTCACTCAGTAGTAAAAGACTACTCTAGCCTCGCCAGAGACTATAGTATCTTTCTAGTAGTCCCAGACCACATAGACGTCATTTCTTCATTTTCTTTTCTTTTTTTTAACACAAATCCATTACATTTTTTTGCGGATGATGTGTCTCCTCCTGGGAAGCTCGCAGTAAGAGTCTGGTCTGGGCGGGTCCTCGTCGTCTTTTGGTCAGACGGGAATTTCCCTCACGCCTTAATGCGCCACCGGTTTTCCGTCGCAGACCCCCATTGGAAAGTTCCACAGGCTGAATCAACTATCCTGTTCATTGACGCATGTCGGTCAGGATCTCTCCAGTTAACTGACAATAAAGAAAGATTCATTTAAGTTTGACTTCAGGTGTCCCTGGTGTTGAATTTCCACTATAATACTTAATCCATAATTACTAAATTACCCCAGCAACCTATATGAAGCATTATATTTTCTTGAGAATGTGAAGCAGTATGACGTCAGGCAAAAAATATAATGCCAAATTCCTCACTTGGACTGTGGGTGAAGTGTCCATGGTTACCCCTAAATAAATTATATTAATTCATGACATTGATATATGGCATTCATATATCGTATATTTTGTAAAAAGTATAAGACATTCAAACATAAGCACACTACTGACATTTTTGCAGAGCTCTCCTCCACAAGAAAATGTGTTGCTTTCAGGATAATAATAACAACCAGAACAAACTTCATGTCATTCAGAAATCTGTCTTGATTCTCTTGAGAAAAATACATACATACATTTAAAAAGAGGGAATTCTTAAGGTTGCTGATCAGAATACCCATAACATATAATTTATAATAACTGTAGCTACATTTGGTGCCCCGTGTGAGGAGAAGATATCATTTTCAGAATTTTATAAAATCTGTGCAGCGTTTTTTATCAGCTCTTAGAAGGTCTTACCCTCAATGTCTAGCTTGGTTCATTCACTTGAGTTCATTCATTGGCTAAAGAGAACCACAAAACATTTACACATACTGAAATCTGAAATTCAAATTGGAAACATAGTTTGCTACTAAACGTTCTGTTTCTTCACTGACTTTGAATCATGAGATATGCACCATCTCCAAAATAGTATTCATTATACCAGAGTATTCCACAATGATACGATCCAACATCAATATGGGCAACATTCCATAGGGTCAAATTAAAACTCTTATCATTCTTTTGTAGCTCAAAACAGGACGTATTTGCAAAATCTCCCTGGAATTGCACCATGTCCCGGTGTGTTTCAGCCATATCCAGAATAACACTGAGTCTACCATGGAGAAACACTCCAGCGTCACAGATCCCCCTAGGGGCAACGATTCTGTCCGCACAGGCTGTGGCACCATGGGATGCATGGTACCATCTAGAACACACAGGACAGACTACATACAGTGGGGGAAAAAAGTATTTAGTCAGCCACCAATTGTGCATGTTCTCCCACTTAAAAAGATGAGAGAGGCCTGTAATTTTCATCATAGGTACACGTCAACTATGACAGACAAATTGAGAATTTTTTTTCCAGAAAATCACATTGTAGGATTTTTAATGATCTTATTTGCATATTATGGTGGAAAATAAGTATTTGGTCAATAACAAAAGTTTCTCAATACTTTGTTATATACCCTTTGTTGGCAATGACACAGGTCAAACGTTTTCTGTAAGTCTTCACGAGGTTTTCACACACTGTTGCTGGTATTTTGGCCCATTCCTCCATGCAGATCTCCTCTAGAGCAGTGATGTTTTGGGGCTGTCGCTGGGCAACACAGACTTTCAACTCCCTCCAAAAATGTTCTATGGGGTTGAGATCTGGAGACTGGCTAGGCCACTCCAGGACCTTGAAATGCTTCTTAAGAAGCCACTCCTTCATTGCCCGGGCGGTGTGTTTGAGATCATTGTCATGCTGAAAGACCCAGCCACGTTTCATCTTCAATGCCCTTGCTGATGGAAGGAGGTTTTCACTCAAAATCTCACGATACATGGCCCCATTCATTCATTCTTTCCGTTACACGGATCAGTCGTCCTGGTCCCTTTGCAGAAAAACAGCCCCAAAGCATGATGTTTCCACCCCCATGCTTCACAGTAGGTATGGTGTTCTTTGGATGCAACTCAGCATTATTTGTCCTCCAAACACGACGAGATGAGTTTTTACCAAAAAGTTAAATTTTGGTTTCATCTGACCATATGACATTCTCCCAATCCTCTTCTGGATCATCCAAATGCACTCTAGCAAACTTCAGACGGGCCTGGACATGTACTGGCTTAAGCAGTGGGACACGTCTGGCACTGCAGGATTTGAGTCCCTGGCGTCGTAGTGTGTTACTTATGGTAGGCTTTGTTACTTTGGTCCCAGCTCTCTGCAGGTCATTCACTAGGTCCCCCCGTGTGGTTCTGGGATTTTTGCTCACCGTTCTTGTGATCATTTTGACCCACGGGGTGAGATCTTGCGTGGAGCCCCAGATCAAGGGAGATTATCAGTGGTCTTGTATGTCTTCCATTTCCTAATAATTGCTCCCACAGTTGATTTCTTCAAACCAAGCTGCTTACCTATTGCAGATTCAGTCTTCCCAGCCTGGTGCAGGTCTACAATTTTGTTTCTGGTGTCCTTTGACAGCTCTTTGGTCTTGGCCATAGTGGAGTTTGGAGTGTGACTGTTTGAGGTTGTGGACAGGTGTCTTTTATACTGATAACAAGTTCAAACAGGTGCCATTAATACAGGTAACGAGTGGAGGACAGAGGAGCCTCTTAAAGAAGAAGTTACAGGTCTGTGAGAGCCAGAAATCTTGCTTGTTTGTATGTGACCAAATACTTATTTTCCACCATAATTTGCAAATAAATTCATTAAAAATCATACAATGTGATTTTCGGGATTTTCTTTTCTCAATTTGTCTGTCATAGTTGACGTGTACCTATGATGAAAATTACAGGCCTCTCTCATCTTTTTAAGTGGGAGAACTTGCACAATTGGTGGCTGACTAAATACTTTTTTTCCCCCACTGTATATAGTTGGAGAGGGAAATATTTGCCCAGGTGAGGCCTGGCCATCTGGTATTTCGGCCAAATGCCAGAAGGGCTGGTGCATTTCTTGCCTAGTGCGCCTGTCTAACTTGGGTTTTATTGCAAAATGATCATTATCTGGCCAACAATGAGGTCCTCAAGGAAAATGTTGTCTGGATTGTCAGAAATGGTCCCAGTCCACCTCCTGTATTTGCCCATGGTGTAAATCATTCAGAGGTAAAGGGCTCATGTTTGGCTAATTGATGTAGATGTAAAAATAATTAATTAATATCCTAATTTGCGTAAGAGTTACAGTAAAGCCATGCCAATAAGATGAGCCAAGGTAGAGGACAATGTAAGTTATCTTACAGTAAATAGCTACTGAAACACAGGAGAAATGGACTAGGCAGTCTAAATATGTAAATACAGTACTTACAAGATGCAGTATTACCATACAGATGAAGAGTGGGGTCATCATGCAGTCCATCCTGAACCAAATAGACTGATGCAGTAATGTGATCAGTAGGCTTCTTGCCTGACAGTTAGAGAGAAAAGCAGAAAGTCACCTATTTTCTCTGATTGGTGGGAGATATATCAAATCACACCCTTCCTGGTAGGTGGGTGAACAGACACCGCACTTCTTACAAAGAGAGCATTTATATTAAATCATAGATATGTATATCTATGCAGTATGTGTAGACAGAGAGATTCTCATGGTGCGCAAGCACCAGATTTTTATCTCAACAACACTAAACATAATTAAATTAAGGTTAAATAAAAAAGGCACCTCTTCTTTGATAAGAAATAGATGTGTGTTGGTGTTCCTCCATTTCTAATGGTGTGATGGAGCCTGACACATATTCAGCTAAACTGCTATTCCTTTAATGACATTGTATATTTGTATATGTGGTAGCAGAGATGTACTGTAGACAGAGAATAGAGATGTACGGAGTGTATAAATGAATGGTTTATTATGTTAAAAACACAGACATACAGCAAAAATGGGATTCTCTATCAGATGATTTCTTACAATAAAAAGCTGTAAAAAGTTATGGCTATTTAAGGCATTACAGGATCATTATATCAATCTAACATATAGACAATGTTAAAATTACATTTTCATTGTTACTTTGAAAATTGGATACTAATTTCAGTTACTAAAAGCAGTTTTATTAGGCTACAAATAGTTAAATGGTTCTTCTTGGAGTCTTTGTGACAGTGGTGATACCTTTCACTGCTGCTGCAGGTGCCTGACCTCAGAGTACACTGCATCCTCTCTGCTGGTCTTCTCTCTTGCTCTTGTAGAGGAGGAGGAGTTCTTCTTGGGGGTGAAACTCACAGCTGCATAATTCAACAGGTCACTGTCTTGATTCTGAGGGGGGTGGAGCCATGAGAAAATAAATTATGATAGCATGATCTACTATATAATGTTTCTATTCTCCTGTGGAAGAAAACACTCTACAAAAGACATGACTGTTCAGACTGTACACCCACTACAATGACCTGACAGTCAGTGGAACAGTGACAGACAGAAGTTTCATGGAAAAATGAACAACGATCACAAAGATCAGAAGGCTACATCTTGTTACTTCCAAAAAAAGCTTAATAACATAAAAAGCACACATAAGCTGAATACTAGCTGTAAGGAAAGTTAAATAGCAGTTGTGAAGAAACACTCTTGTAAAAACTGAAAATATACTGTGTTTAAACATATTGACAAAATTACCTGATTGCCATGGGACTTTGGGACATCTGTCCTCCCTTGAAAGAGATTGAAATAGAGGAATTCCAGCTATTAATGTGAAGACAATCTATTTTTCTGTTTAACCTCATGCAGTTAATTAACTATGCTTATAAGTTGTATATTGAATTGATGTTTGCAGAATGTACATTTCTGACTCGTTTCAGGAAATGAGGCGTTTGGCGCGCATCACTACTTCGCATGAGAGCAATTTGAACGTAAACTTTTTTTATTTATCAAAACACATATTTTTTTTTGGCAGAAATGCCTTCTGGAACATGTGAACTTACATGTGCCTTAATAACAAACTTGTATGCCATCTGTTAATACGAATACAATTGTTAAATTACGAGCCTAGTTGGTTTAGCCACAGAAAAAGACAGCAACCTTCCCTCTAGCCATGATTGGCTGAGATAATGAGTGGGCTGGACATGCCGAGAGATGAGTTTGGATTGGTCTGCCATGTAGCACGCTTCTGTCTATAACATGATCTGGTCAGTATGTGTAGGTAATCCTTTCTAACATGGCTTTTTTTAAAGATATCATGTAGTAGAACTACGTTAGTGTTGCTCTCCACTTTCTGGGGGACCGCGTTTTGAAATCAGTGGAATTAGAGTGTGATAGCTAAGGAGACGGAGAAAACACCTGTCTCCAGATTACATCTTCAATCTAAGGGCAACCATGGCAAACGTGGCAGAGAAGGAGAAGCGTCCATCCATGTATACAGGTAAGATAATGTAGCTAGCTACATTTTCATATATTACACGTTTCTAATTTTGTCAGAAAGTAGTTTTCGTTTCAAGTTAAATTGTACTGTTAGCTAGCTAGCTAACGTTATGTGTATGAACTGTGTAGTAATATTATTCATATTTCAGAGCCATTTGCTTTGCCAGTTATAGCCTATGGTTAGTGTGGTGTCGAGACAACGATGCTGATATGCTGTGTTGACAAGGAATCCCCTGACCCTGTACTTGATTATAACCTTTATTACATCAAGGATTTCAGCATCAATTTACAGATTTCTGCAGAATCTGGAGAACAACTAACCCAATCATAAATATGATTATTCTCCCCGTCCTTTGTTCAAAACCTGGTATATATCCTATGTAACATAAGATGGGTGTTTTGGATAGATCAATCCCTGGCCTCCACATATCCCCATGTCCACTGTTTTAGGGGGCCCCTATAGTAATACTTTCCAGATGTTTCAGCAACGCAGAGTTCATTTAACTAACAATATGAAAACCTCAGCCAAAGCTATAAATGTTCAGATACTACATTAGCTAGCTAACATTGAACCTGGTTGGTTAGCTACCTGCAGATTCATGCAGGGTAGTAATGTCATGAGTTGGGATTATGGTTAATTGTTTAGCTAGCTAGCTAGCTACATGTCTTAAAAAATGACTCCACTATGCAAGTAAACATTGAAATAGAATGTTCATGATGTCACTGTGAAAACTGTTGATAGATGAAGCTGGTAAATTCGCTCTGAATATCTACTCCGATTTTAGCTCTCTTCTGAGTGTGCTAAAGCGCAGAATAACTGATGAATTTACGAACGCGCAACACCCGTTGAAAATGGCCTGTGTCAATAACTGTTGGCAAAAAAATGGTAAATTGTTGTCAGCAGCACAGTTGCCGTCACCAACGCTGTGGGTAACATAAATACAGTCTAACCAGCTCTGCTAGGGCGAGTAAAGTGGTCAGTGAGCTGTTCTCTCATTTGTGTCTGCAAGTAGCTAGCAAGCTAGCCAGCGTTAGCCAGTTAGTTTGGGTGCTTGACTGCTTTTGTTAGGACAGAACGCTCGGATCAACCCTTAAAGAGATGGGTGGGGCTAAAGCTTAAGAGGGTGTGAACGATGCTGAATGGGTGTAGACAAAGAAGGGCTCTCCAGTAGTAGTACCAAAACATTCAAAGGCCATTTTCTCAAAAGTGAGGTTACAAGTTTATCAACGTTCAAAGCAGAATTACTTTCCCATTGTTCCTCAACTGTAGTGTGTGATATACCATTTTCTAGGTCTCTCTACTTTTATCCAATGTAAAAAAACACAATTTCATATTTTGCTACATAAGACCGATTTTATTTTTTGACATGAAACGTTAGATATGATATAAATTAATATCTCTGCTTTCTCTGTTCCAAGTTATGCACAGTACCCAGACCAGCAGAAGGGTCACTATCCCCAGAACGATGTTGGACACCACCAACGACAGAACAGTAGGACTCAAATCAAATGGAGAATCATGCTCTGGAACTGTGGAGAAGGTATTGGTAAATTAATTTTGTATTAATTAACGCTAGTAGTAAGATCATCAAACAGTAAAATATTGCACCAATAATCTAATAGTGGTATAGCTCTATTTTGTTGAGACAAAAGTATGTAATTTTTTTGGTTAATTCTTATGAATATATTATTGTGTTAATTTACAGATTAAATGGGAATTACCTTCAATATCCATCTTGGTCCCGTCTCCAAACAGTATCTCTCCACATGAGGCCACAGCACAGTAGTAAGTCCCAGCATCAGAGAGGCTGAGGTTCCTCTTGGGGAGGTTGTAGACACAGCTCTGTGTAGGAGACCCAGCCTTAGAGCTCTTTTCACACTGATCACTCCTGTCTCAATGGGTGTAAATGATTGCTGAGCAGGATTCTCCTGAGCCATGTCTGAAACAATAGACACTGTGTTCTCCTGCACAGGTCTCAGTGTGTATTGTACAGTTCAGAGTCACAGAGGCTCCGGCTGGACTGACTCAGACACAGGTTGTTGTATAACAGTATTTCTCTTTGAAGTTGTGCCTGATAAGAAAGTTAAATATTAGATAAAATGGGATAAAATAACTAATTACAAATATTCCGAGTAAATATACAAAGTATATAAAGTATTTTGTTATATTTTCACGTGTCAGCTTTAAAAAGATTCCATAAGCAAACAGCATATGATTCAGTTCCCAATGTCCTCTTGTTTTGTAGCAGAAACGTTGAGGTGAAATGTGTTTTTGCCAGCCAACACAGTGAATCGCCCATCATCAAATTCATTGTAGAATTGCACAAGATTAGTAAATTGATCTAGATGTTACTTACAAGCTTTCCAGATGAATAGAAAGATGAAGTTTGTTCATCTTGCTTGTTCCTTCAAAAATGAGATTGACCTGTGTGAAATGCAGTCTCTCTACAGAAGAGAATGGAAACTTGCTTTTGCTTTCATTGGTTGATCACCGGTACTGTCTGATCTGGATGTTCAGATTTGATTGACTGGCCAGTAGGTCACGAATGCAACAAACACTGTCCATTCATGTTGTTGTACAGCTTGAACATGTGTTTCACAACTTTATCACATTGCAGTTTGAATATGTGACCGATCGGCTCGATTCGGTCTTATGTAGCAACATTTGAAATTGTGATTTTTACATTGAATAAAATTAGAAACTCAGAGCTAGAAAATGGTATATCATACACTACAGTTGAGGAACAATGGGAAAGTAATTGTCACGTTCGTCGGTAAGAGAGGAGGACCAAGGCGCAGCGTTGCAGGCAAACATACTCTTTATTTAGCGATACACGACCAAAACAACAAAACGATAACGTGACAGTTCACGGTCTAACACAAACCAACTAGAAACAAGATCCCACAACTACTGTGGGAAAACAGCCTGTATAAATGTGGTTCCCAATCAGAGACAACCAGCCACAGCTGACACTCGTTGCCTCTGATTGAGAACCACACTGGCCAACATAGAAATGAAACAACTAGAACTACAACACAGAAATCTACACACCCTGGCTCAACATAACAGTGTCCCCAGAGCCAGGGCGTGACAGTACCCCCCCCTAAAGGCGCGGACTCCGACCGCGTCAACCAAACACCACAGGGGAGGGACCGGGTAGGCACTCCGCCTAGGCGGCGGATCCGGCTCCGGGCCTGATCCCCGCTCCCTCTCCAACCCCCCAAAGTACCCCTGGTCCGGTCTGGCCCCGCTGGCCGGAGCTGGACTGCACACTGGTGGAGCGGATTGCTCTAGCTCCGGCGTGAAGCATCTGACCGGTGCCGGACCAGGCACCGATGGAACTGGCACGGGACGTGCCGGACTGACGACGCACACCACTGGCTTGGTGTGGGGAGCAGGAGCGGACCGGACCGGGCTGGCGACACGCACCATTGGCTTGGTGTGGGGAACAGGCACGGGCCGTGCCGGACTGACGACGCACACCACTGGCTTGGTGTGGGGAGCAGGAGCGGGCCTGACCGGGCTGGCGACGCGCACCATTGGCTTGGTGTGGAGAACAGGCACGGGCCGTGCCGGACTGACGACGCACACGACTGGCTTAGTGTGGGGAGCAGGAGCGGGCCGGACCGGGCTGGCGACGTGCACCATTGGCTTGGTGCGGGGAGTAAGAACAGGCCGGACCGGGCTGGCGACGCGCACCCTTGAACTGGTGCGGGGAGCAGGAACAGGCCGGGCCGGGCTGGCGAAGCGCACCATAGGCCTGGTGCAGGGAGCAGGAACAGGCCGGGCCGGGCTGGCGACGCGCACCATAGGCTTGGTGCGGGGAGCAGGAACAGGCCGGGCCGAGCTGGCGACGCGCACCATAGGCTTGGTGCGGGGAGCAGGAGCGGGCCGGACCGGGCTGGAGACTCGCACCATTGGCCTGGTGCGGGGAGCAGGAACAGGCCGGACCGTACTGGGGACACACACCACTGGCCCTACGCAGGGATCTGGAACGGGCCGGACCGGACTGGTAACACACCCCAGTACCTCTTGCAGTGCCTCTACACCTTCCTTCCCCTCTTCGACCAGTGGCCCCCGTAACCTGGCGGCCTCCTCTGCAAACCCGCTGGGCTGCTCTGTCGCGGTCTCCTGCTGCCCCGTCGTCCACGGCGTTAGCCCCCCCCCTAAAAATTTTATGGGCTTCACTCCTACCCGTGGACCAGGTCTCCATACTTTTTGCGAGCCTTTCGCCCTTCTGCTTCCACGTCAAGCCCCTCTCTTCCTCACATGGCTTGACCCAGTCGAGGAGGCGAAGGAGATCCGCTAGAGATCTCTCAGGCGATGGCTCCTGGACTTGCTGCTTGGTCCAGTCTTGGTGGGATCTTCTGTCACGTTCGTCGGTAAGAGAGGAGGACCAAGGCGCAGCGTTGCAGGCAAACATACTCTTTATTTAGCGATACACGACCAAAACAACAAAACGATAACGTGACAGTTCACGGTCTAACACAAACCAACTAGAAACAAGATCCCACAACTACTGTGGGAAAACAGCCTGTATAAATGTGGTTCCCAATCAGAGACAACCAGCCACAGCTGACACTCGTTGCCTCTGATTGAGAACCACACTGGCCAACATAGAAATGAAACAACTAGAACTACAACACAGAAATCTACACACCCTGGCTCAACATAACAGTGTCCCCAGAGCCAGGGCGTGACAGTAATTCTGCTTTCAAACCCCTAATACGTATTCCTGCGCTTGTGTTGTAATCATTATACAACGTGACAGAATAATCGACCCATAAAAATGGAGACAGCGGGAAAGTAAAGTAAAAATTCGCCATGATGGCGATCCAAGATGGCGTAGCAGTGCGTTCGCTTTCATTCATTGTCCTTGTGTAAATATCCCGTTTCTTGTTTTTTTGTCTATTTTTGTATATATTTCTCAATATTTACTTTTCATTCTTTAACTAAATATACTTTCCTGCAACCCGCCTCACCCAACGTGGAAAGTATTCTATTCTTTCTTTATAACTTTCATCAAGAACCGTAAGCTTGAAACTAGTGTAGCTAGCGTAGCTGCAACTGAATGGCTACTTGCTATACTTGCTATTAGTCACCGTTAGCGTCTTCACCACTGTCCGTGGCCTACACTATCCACCAGCCAGCCCTAGCTCTAGCCTGGACAATTCGTCGGCCAGTCTGCACAGCGTGCTATCGATCCAGAGCTTATTGGACTTTCTGCCGGAATCACTGGACCCTAGCGCCGGATCATCGCAACCAGCTAGCTAGCTGCAACCTGTTGTTGGCTAATTACCATTGCCCTATAGCAAGCACCAGTTAGCCTTGAGCTAGCCTCAGGCCTATCTCCCGGCTATCTACCTCTCTATCAACCGGACGGGACCTCCTAGTGTTGACACTGAGCCCCGCCGATCCAACACGACTGGTTTGCCGACGAAATAGTCTGATGTGGTTTCAACAGGCTTCCCGTTGCGACGACCACGAAGATCCATCTGCCAGCCCCGGCCCGCTAGCACACGCAAACTACAACTGTGCTCCCTGCTAGCTGTGCTGAAGCACCAATTTGAACTGCTCTCGGACTCACATATTGCTGTTCACTGGACCTTATGATCACTCAGCTGCACAGCTGATGCCTTGCTGGACTGTTCCTTTACACGGTACCCTGTCCTGTTTATTCTGTTTAGCCTTAGCCCAAACGTTATTGCTATTTCCAGTTGTTGTCTTAGCTCTCTCTAATAACACCTGTGACTGCTTTATGCCTCTCTCCCATGTCAATGATGCCTTGCCTATTGCTGTTTGGGTTAGTTCTTATTATACAATTTCACTGTAGAACCCCTAGTCCCTCTCAAACTGCCTCAAATAGTTCCTTTGTTCCACCCCCCATACACGCAGAGACCGGCTCAATCGGTGCCTCCAGTGACGCTATCTCTTTCATTGTTACCCAACGCTTAGGGTTACCTGAACTGTACTCATATCCTTCCATATCCTTTTCTGTACATAATGCCCTGAATCTTTTCTACAACGCCCGGAGAACTGCCCCCTTTATTCTATGTACCAAACGCACTAGAAGACCAGTTCTTAAAGCCTTTAGTCGTATCCTTATTCTAGTCCTCCTCTGTTCCTCTGGTGATGTAGAGGCTAACCCAGGCCCTGCAGCCCCCAGTATCACTCCTACTCCCCAGGAGCTATCATTTGTTGACTTCTGTAACCGTAAAAGTCTTGGTTTTCTGCACGTAAATATCAGAAGCCTCCTTCCTAAGTTTGAGTTATTCACTGCGTTAGCACACTCCGCCAACCCTGATGTTCTAGCAGTGTCTGAATCCTGGCTTAGGAAGGCCACCAAAAATTCTGAAATTTCAGCCCCAACTATAACATTTTCCGTCTAGATAGAACTGCCAAAGGGGGTGGAGTTGCAATCTACTGTAGAGATAGCCTGCAGAGCTCTATCATACTATCCAGGTCTGTGCCCAAACAGTTTGAGCTTCTACTTCTAAAAATCCACCTTTCCATAAATAAATCTCTCACTGTTGCCGCTTGCTACAGACCCCCCTCAGCCCCCAGCTGTGCCCTGGACTCCATATGTGAATTGATTGCCCCCCATCTATCCTCAGAGTTCGTACTGCTTGGTGACCTAAATTGGGATATGCTTAACACCCCGGCCATCCTACAATCTAAACTAGATGCCCTCAATCTCACACAAATTATCAACGAAACTACCAGGTACAACCCTAAATCCGTAAACATGGGTACCCTCATAGATATCATCCTGACTTACCCTCTAAATACACCTCCGCTGTCTTCAACCAGGATCTCAGCGATCACTGCCTTATTGCCTGCGTCCGTAACGGGTCCGCGGTCAAACGACCACCCCTCATCACTGTCAAACGCTCCCAAAAACACTTCAGCGAGCAGGCCTTCCTAATTGACCTGGCCCAGGTATCCTGGATGGATATAGATCTCATTCCGTCAGTAGAGGATGCCTGGTTGTTCTTTAAAAGTAATTTCCTCTCAATCTTAAATAAACATGCCCCATTCAAAAAATACAGAACTAAGAACAGATATAGCCCC